AAAAAAAAAATTAGGCAAAAAGGAGGCAAAAAGATGCTGGTCATAATAAAAAAATGGGTTAATATTAGCGTGTTTCATCATATAGCGTAGGAGATAGATACTCACATTATTTATAAAATTTGATAGTATTATATAAGAGAAAAATAGATATGAATAAAGTTATACTTATTAAAAAGCTTACAACTTTACAGTACAAGGTTGGACGATCGATTACAAAGTACTTGAGTGATTTTTAAGATATATTTAATCGGATGATTACTATGAAGTTTAATATAGATGATGAAATGAAGGCATTGTTTCTTTTGGGTTCATTACCAAACAATTGAAATACGTTAGTTGTAACTGTTCTTAATTCAGCTCTTTATTACAAAGTGACATTGGAGATAGTAAAAGATAGTATGCTTAATCAAAAAGTAAAGCGAAAAGATTTAGGCTATAGGAATCAAGCTCTTATCATAGAGAACAAGGATAAAAATATCCACAAAAGTTAAAACTAAAAAAATTGTAGTAATTTAAACATAGATCTAAGTCTAGAGATAAAATGAAGTACTTTCATTGTGGTAAATCAGATCATATAAAATGATATTGCAAAATATTGAAACAAGAGCAAAAAGATAAGAAAAGTTAGAGTTCAGATGATGACAATATTGCAGTAGTGAATTCAAATAATGATTCAGTTACTTTAATTTGTATCCATGGTGATTGTAATCATGCTGGTGATCTCAACATTAAGTGAATAGTTGATACAAAAGTGGCATATCATTGTATTCTTAAGAGAAAATTATTTACAATTTATAAAGTAAGAGATTTTGGTTACACCATGATGAAAAATAAGAGTATGTCACAGATTATTAGGATCGATGATATTATTGTGCAAACTAGTATATATTGCATATTAACATTGAGTGATGTTAGATATATTTTAGATATGAGAATGAATTTTTTTTGCTGTTAATGTCCTTAATAAAGAAAGATATGAAAGTCGATAAAAAAATGGGTAGTGAAAGCTTTTCAAAGGATCTATGATAGTTGCAAGAGAAAAATTATGCTACATGATATATAAGACATGGATGCAATTGAACGATAACCAAATAAATGTCATTGAGGATGATGATTCAACAAATATGTCGCACAAAGGGCTGGTACACATGAGTGAGAAAATGTTACAAGTTTTGATAAAATAATCTCTTATTACCTTAACCAAGGTATGTCTCTCAATTCATGTGATTATTATTTGTGTGACAAGCATCATAGAATTTTTTTTAGAAAAAATATTGAAATTAGTTCATTCTTATGTATGTGATCCCATTAAGGTTAAGTTATTGAATGGTGCAAGTATTTTGTTACTTTTATTGATGATGCATCATGTGAGAATTAGGTGTTTATATTGAAAAACAAAAGCAAGATATTACAGTATTTTAAAAAATTTTATGCCATGGTGGAAAGGATGATAGAGTTATATTTAAAATGTATTCGGACTGATAATAATGTATAATACACATCCAAAAACTTTAAAAAAATACTATTCATAACTTGAGATAAGGTATGAGATGATAGAACTTAAAACACCACAGCATAATGATGTAATTGAAAGGATAAATCGCATTATTGTGAAAAAAGTCAGATGTATGTTAAGGATAGCAAAATTACCAAAGTCATGTTGGGGTGAAGCGATCAACACAGCTTGTTATTTGCTTAACAGATCACCATTAGTTTCTTCGGGCTTTGACATTCCAAAAAAAATGTGGATAGAAAAATATACTTTTTACACTCACTTGAAAATTTTTTGGTGTAAAACATTCATGCATATGCCGAAAGAGTAAAGGTCAAAGCTTAACAGTAAAATCACATAGTATGTGTTTGTAGGATATGGTGATGAGAAATTTAATTACAAGGTATGTGATTCAGTTAAGAGAAAGATAATCAAAAGTAGAGATGTGGTATTTCATAAAAAAAAATCATAGCAGACTTTGAAAAAAATGAGAAGGCTACATGGATTATTATTAAGTGTGATGTTTTAATATCGATAAGAATTTCACCAAAAAAAGTCACAGATGGTGAAAATGAGTAAAAGATAAAACTTGAGGATACGAATGAGCCAGTCATAGTTAGTGATGAGCCATATGCAATTAATTTTGAGTAAGGTGAACAGTAATTTCCACCATGGAGTGTTAAACAAAGAGAGCTACTTTTGACATCAAGTAATATAGAGTCTCAGTTGAAGAGATCTACCAGAGAGCACAGGTCATCCACCATATATGTAAGTTTAAATTTTATTTTAGTTATCAATAAAAAAAAGCCAGAGAGCTTTCAATATGTACAACTACTTTGGATAGAGAGCAATGGTTAAAGCAATAAAAGAAGAGATGGAGTCATTACAAAAAAAATAGTACATATGATCTTGTTAAACTTTCGAAAGGAAAGAGGTCGTTAAAAAATAAACAGGTGTTCAAGTTAAAAAAAATGATAACAAACTAGTGAGGTACAAAACTCAATTGATGGTGAAAGATTTTTTTTAAAAATTCAGTATTGATTTTGATGAAATTTTTTTTTCAATTGTGAAGATGAGTTTCATTCGAGTGGTACTGAGATTAATAACTAGTTGAAATCTTGAGCCTCAGCAACTTGATGTTAAAATTGCATTCTTGCATAGCGACTTGAGGAAGACATTTATATGGATCAGTTTTAAAGTTTTAAAGTGAAAGAAAAAGAGCACTTAGTTTGCAAACTGATTGCAAATGAAAAAAAAGCTTGTATGACTTGAAACAAGTTACGCGATAGTGGTACAAAAAGTTTGATTCTTTTATGGTGAGCCATGGCTATAAAAAAATGACAGCAGTTCTTTATGTATCTGTTAAAAAATTCTCTGATGGTAACTTCATTTTTCTTTTATTATATGTTGATGATATGTTGGTTGTGAGATAAGATGTTAGTATGGTTCACAAGTTAAAAGAATAGTTGTTTAAGTTTTTTTATATGAAGAATTTAGGTCCAAAAAATAGATTATCAGTATAAATATTATATAGGATAAGAGAGCTAGAAAGCTGTGGTTATTACAAAAAAAATATGTTAAATAGGTGCTTAATAAATTCAACATGCAACATGCTAAATTGGTTAGCAGTCCACTTATCAACTATTTTCATCTAAGTAAAAAATCTTATCTGGTGACTAAAGGAGAGTAACTAGCTATGTCTAATATTCCTTATTCTTTTGCAGTCGACTTTTTTATATATCTTATGATTTAGAAATGGCCTGACATTGCTCATGAAATTGGTTTAGTGAGCAAATTTTTTTTAATCCGAGAAAAGTTCACTGAAAAGTAGTGAAATAGATTTTCAGATATTTGAGAGATACTTAAAAAATGTACTTGAGTTATAAAGTTTTACAACAAGTTTTAGAAGGGTTTACTAATGCTGACATGACATGTGATCTTAATGATAAAAAATTTACTTTAGGGTGTTTGTTCACTTTTACAGGAAAAACTATGTCTTGGCAGTCTAAGTTATAAAAATATGTTATCTTATCAACTATAGAGGCTGAATATATTATAGCAACCGAAATAGGTAAAAAAATGCTTTGATAAAACGTTTTCTTCTTCAATTATGATTGAATAAAAAATATTTGATGTTTTGTGATAATAAGAGTGCTTTATATTTAAGTAAGAATGTCATGTATCATGCTATGACAAAGTACATTGATATTAGATATTATTAATTATATTCAGTGATTGAGAAACAATAGATACAATTAAAAAAAGTCTATACTAATGAGAATATAACAGATAAGTTGACTAAGCCACTTCCCAAATAAAACCTTAAGCTTTGTAGTAAATTGATTGGAATGAGTTTTTTGACCAAAGTAAATTCTAAATAAAACTGTTATGGTAATAAATCTCCTCCTAATGAAGTTAGAATGGAGATTATTAGGAATGTGTGGGGTCCAGCCCATTATTTTAGCCAATCAAAGCTATGTGCCTTTTGACTTTTAACTTAAAATAACGCCATAAATAATAAAAAAAGGGTTATGGTTTTGGTGAAAAAGTAAGTGTGGTAGCGTCGAAAAGAAAGAAAAGAGGCCAGGAAAAATAAAAATAGAAATGAAAGGAGAGTTAGTTGAACGAAAATTAATCCGTAATCCGATTGAATTGAAATTTTATCAATAAATTTATGATTTAGTATTCTAAATTCTAAACAGAAAAAATCGAGTTTGAAACTCTTTATGAATAAATCTAAGGTATATTTGTTAAGTTACCTATCGATGAGATTTCTCTAATTTCTCAAATTATCTCTCTATTTGTTGATTATTTTAATTTTAATTAAAAAAATTTTCTATATCAATTATTTGATAATTAAATTTTTTTTAATAAATTATAATTTTTTTCTTCTACATTAAAAGATTTTTTATATAAATTTTAGTATATTTTATTTTAATATATTTTAAATTATTAATTATTATATTTTATTTTAAATTTATTATAATATATTACTTTTGTATTATTGTACTTATCACTTCAACTTCAAGAATTAGATCCATCGATGCCCATTACCTCGACGTATGGGAAAGGTTTAAATATAGACTTGAAGATTGAAAGCATCGCTTCGATGAACTCCTCCTTTTAACTTCTTCCTGGGGTTTTGACGCTGTTGGCATTTAAGCTAATGAATATCGTGGCAGTGAGTACTGTCTTCTGGTATCAAGTCCAATCCAGAAACTCTTAACCAAGAAAATTTCCTGAATATCGTGCTTGCTCAATCGTCCCCGGTCCATTGTTTCTAATTGCAAGATTTTTATTTTTTTATACCAAATAACGTTATAATAATTCTAAGCCTATTTATCATCTTTTCTATATATATTTTCATTAATACTTTTTTTATTAAATTTGATGAAAACAATACACTTTATATAATTTTAAAAATAGTATATTTTCATTAATATATATTTTTTCTTTTATCAAGAAAATGGAATTAGACTTGGCAAATCTATCCGGATATTAAAAGAAGATCATCATATTGGCTTATGGACTTTCGGAGAAAATACATTAACTTTCTTTTCAAAATGAAACTTATTTTCATTTCGGTTTTATTCAACGGAGTTCCACTTTCTTAACCTAAATAAGCTTCAATTATACTACAAACTCATTGATTGATTATATCACCAGTTGAATATAATAACCAATTATAACCCTCAATTGGTAATTAATGGATAGAATATTAATTTTTTAGTTCAATCAAAATTAAATCTTCGAAAATCTCGTAAAAACAACAACTATACACAAGTCTAATGTTATTGCTACACAGGTAGGGGGCATGAAAGCCAATCTTTGCAATCTCAATATATATATACACACGAGTACTGTTATTGCCATATAGCTAGGGGCATGAAAGCCCTCTTTCAGAGTGTCCATGGCAGTAGAGAGGACGGAGTTCTAAACTTGTTTCTTTAACAGGAACGATCCTCATTATAAGAAACACTAAAAGAGATAAACCTTAAATATTTGATATTACCCCGTAACTCTCCTCCCCCCCCCCCCCCCAAAAAAAAAAAAAAAACTCATTTGTTTAGCAAGAGATGATTCCTCCATGGTTCAATGGCTTTCATGAGGAAGGAGCATATGAACTACTTCACCCATTGTCGGTCTTGCGTCTTTATCTTCCTGAACGCATCGCAGAGCTACCGTAACCAAAATTAGCATCTCATCCTCATCATATATCCCTTTCAGCTTGGGATCTATTATCTCATGCTTCCATGTTTCTGTATCTTTGGCTCTTTCCATGTTCTCTCTCATCCATGCAACTAACGTTCTTTGTTCTTTTGTACTTCCATCATCTGTCACATGGATTCCCATTCCAGGGCTTTTTCCCGTCACTAACTCCAATACAACGATCCCATAGCTGTAGACATCAACTTTGGAGGTGATGGGCAGATTGAAGACCCATTCAGGTGCCATGTAACCTCTAGTTCCTCGGATCTTTGAGACTTTTGAATACTTGACATCACCTCTATTTAGCAGCCAAGACAGGCCAAAATCTGACACTTTAGGCTGGTATTTAGAGTCTATAAGAATGTTCTGAGGCTTTATATCACAATGAAGAACCCATTCCAAGCATTCTTCATGTAAATAAGCTAGGCCTCTTGCGGTTCCCACAGCAATTTCATATCTCTTTTTCCAATCTAGTTCTTTAAAGGAAAGGTTTTCAGCTAAGGACCCATGTTCCATGAACTCGTACACCAGAAGCCTATGCTTTCTCTCCGCACAGTAGCCCCACATCTCAATCAAGTTCATGTGATTAAGCTTTCCAATGGTGTTTACTTCTGCTAGGAATTCAGCTTCCCCTTGGTTAGAATCAATGAGTCGCTTGATTGCTGCAACTCGGCCATCGGAAAGTGTGGCTTTGTATACGATTCCACCTGCACCTCTTCCAATCTCTTCTGAGAAACTATTTGTAGCCTTTTTCATTTCAGCATAGGTGAATTTTCTGAAGCCAGTTGTAGCGAGAAGGTAGCCTAAGGTTGGGCTTGAATTGTCGCGGGTTCTAATCAAGAAACACCATACCAAGAAAATGGTAAGAAACTCGAGTGCTCCAACTGCACAGGCAGCCCAAAGGGCAGATTTCAATGACTCATTTTCATGCCTTTGGAAATATTTTCGCTCCAGCGGCTGAACTTTGTTAGAACATTGTAACTTGGAATCTTGAACACTGTTACCGTAAAAGGAGACAGTGGCCTTGGGCACTTTCACGTAGAAATCACCAGCAAAATTTTGTTGGCGATATCCAGTCAACAATTGTACCTTGGGAAAACAGTATGTACCATCGGGTTCAGGGGGTTTAATAAATCTGAAAAGAAAACCTTTGCAATCGCACAACTGCGAGCATATTTTCTGGCAATGCTCTAAGGTGACATTAGTATACAATCCCAAATCATAGCCAAAGAAATCAACATGGCTGAGTTTCAGGAAACCAACCTCAGTTTTGTTACAAGAAAGATGAAATTCTGGTTCACAGCGAAGAGACCAGTCAGTATGATTCTTCATCTTATACCCTGGAAGGCAAGAACATTTCCTGCCAAAATTAGGAATATAAATGCATATGCTGTTTGGTCCACAACATCCATGAACCATGCATGGTTGATTGAAGGCTTGCCATGAAACAACCCAAGTTTCTCCATCCTCTTTTAGACTATACAATCGAATATTGCCATCAAAATCCATCTTCAACATTCTCGAAATCTTTGAGCCATAATCAGCTGACAAGAAAGTAAATTTATCGGTTGAACTGAACTTTCCCAATGAATCCAGAACTGCAATTTTGCTATTATTGAACGTGGACCTTCCAGCATCCCATCTCAAAAGCCAAGGACTTGGCCAGTAAACGCTTGAAAACTCAGGACCTTTGTACATAAGGCAGAGAACATTATCAGTGTCAAAATAAAACTGAAAATAGCCCGAGGAGAAGTTTCCTTGGCTTCTTGATGAGATGAGCTTTGTGTTCTCATTGAATAGTTGAAGAGGAAGCAGAGTATCCGTGGGTGAATCGTAGCTTTGCCACAATATAAGGCCTTCCAAGTTACTCAAGACAAGATTACCACCATCTTCGATTTTCAAATAGGTAGGGGACTGCGACACGGTTTTCGTTTCCCAAACAGTTATTTGAGCAGCATCTATTAAAAAAAGATTACCTGATTCCAGTAGACAGAGCTTTGAGGATCTACCATTGACTGGTTGGTCCCGATTTGCCATCCAAACTATGGTGCAAGTGTTGGCACCGCAGGCTGGTTTATTGAACCATATCGCAAAGGAATAAGCATTCTGGCCAACAGAGTGGAAACCGGCACTGAAAGTGCCATCAGGTGAAGTTAAGACATCAGCTGCAGTCTCCACCGATAAAGATGAGCCCGCCCATAGACTATCAGAGGATGAAGATGAAAGTGGGCAACATAAAGACAAAAACAATACGAGTAGGATCAATGGTGTGGCCATGAAAAATATTGTGAAGACATATTGAAGACAGGTAAAGGCTTGGCTATTATTAAGGCAGAGAGGTGTGCACAAGTTTCATGTGAGTGAATTCCGAGGCTAAAAACTACAATATTTTATTAAGTTCATGAAGTCACAAAAAACAATAGCAGTTAATAAAGCAGGCTCATGTGCTTTCCTGGATGTTGCCAAAATGTCTATCAAATGCACGGTTTTTTAGGTTTTTCTCTGTATTCTTCTCATAATAAATTTTTAATTTGCAACGCGGAAATACCTTTACGACTATTATTCCCACGGCTTTGAAAATTTGAATTTGTAATGTGAACCCAAGAAAATTTCAAGAATGGCAGCATTGCATGTGATCATAAAATATTATCTGTTGATTTATTATTTGAATTTCACTAGAATAAATTTATGATTGTAGCAATAAACATGCTTCATTTTTTGGTGGTTAATACATTTCTATATAAATAAAAAAATATATATTATACATAAAAAAGAAATAATTAATATTTCATATATTGACAATATATTATTTATATACACTATCAATAAATAATATAAAAACATCTTATTAATGAATAAAATTTAAAATTTTAAGTCTTTAAAAATAAATATTAATAAATTTATTTAAGATTAATTAATTAAAATTAAAATTTTTTCCTTCTTTGTCACCTTTCTGGATTTACCACCTCCATCTTTTGATTTTTTAATTTTTTTTACTAGGTAAAATTTTCCAGCATGAAATTTGTTAACAATTAAAACACAACATGAAATGACTTTTTTAATGAACAAAATAAAATTTAGGCTAGTAATGAAACCTCCCTCACAGATAAGCAATTGATCAATGCTGTCAAGAGATAACACTCACTCCAACATTGATCAATGCTATCAAAATTATCAGATTCGACATATAATTTGATTTGATAATTTTTCCAGTTCTCATGGCTTGTCAATTGGTAGAAACTCAATGCAGTACATAAAACCACAATGTGCAAAATTCCAGTGGAAATCTTTAAATTTGGTTATTCAAAAAAAAAAAAAAACTACTCTGGTAAATAGAAAGGGACAAAACAAAGCACAAGGTGTAAAAACACAACTCCAGGATAAAAATGGAGAAATAACAAATGTTGTTTATGTAACGTAACATAAAATTGAGAGTAAATAAAGTTATTCAATACTCAATACCCAAAATCAGTATCCAAAACTGCAAACAAAAATAAAAATTTCGAAGTGAAATTTAACAAAATCATCTTAAAATTACAACTTTGACTGAGATGAAAAGTTTACCCAATAAAAAGAATTAGAGAATCAAAAGAAATAGATGATAAATGCAAAGTGAGGTGGCAAAGAAAAAAAAATTAATTTAATTAATTAATCTTAAATAAATTTATTAATATTTATTTTTAAAAATTTAAAATTTTATTCATTAATGATATATCCTTATATTATTTACTGATAATGAATAAAAATGATACATCGTCAGAGTGTATGAAATATTAATCTAAAAAGAAATAGCACTCTTCTGTCTTCATGACATCGATACAGAGGAATCAATTTGGACTGGAATTTGAGCCCAAAAAAGACAAAGCAGGGGAAAACCCCGTTATCTGAGCCCATAGGCTGTTGAGTTTGCTTCGTTTCTGCTTTATCTTGACCCAACACTTGACAATTTAGATCAGCTACGATGGGAAAAGAAGGCCGTCCTCAAGCGAGGAATCATAAAATAGATAAATAAAATATAATACGATGATATTTATTCAGGTTATACATATAGAGCCAAAAACAGAGAAATAAATACTTCCAACTATTGAGACAAATTTTGGATCCTACGTTTGTATGCGGACCTCCCTGCTTGCCAGGCCAATAAACACTTGAAATCTCAGAACCATCATCAAAAGGAGACGGAGAACATTATCATCATGGAAAAAAGGCTTGTAGAAACCAGAGGAATTGTTATCTTTTCTTCTTCCAGAGACAGGTGTTGTGTCTGGTGATTGATTGTAGAGGAAGAAGGGTATTAGTAGGAGAATAAAAGCGTACCTTCGGAATAACTCAGAAAAAGATCACCATAGTGTCCTTATGATGAATTAGACTCAAACCTGAAGGACTTCAGTGTAATTAATTACCCATGATTAGTTGTTTCAAGGTTATAATAACGAAAAAATATTAGTATGTTTCCTAGTTTTCACATTATTTGCAATTCTGCAAACTAAACAATAAATAACAAGCGGAATTAGCTTCAATAGTTGTTAGACGGTTCATTGATAATTTAACACAGCCAACATCATCCACATTCTTTACACAGGAAAGCAGATGGAGCGTATTCTTCGAAGCCAATCAACAGGGACAAGCATATCAGCTTTAACAGTAGATACAGCCTGTTCTTAAAGGCAGTACAAACATCTCAGGTTTCAAAGTTTTTTCTAGCCTATGGAAAAGCATTGAAGAAAGTTACAAGAAACTACCAATCTTATTCTTTGGTGTATGTACAAATGGTTGGCAAACGTGTCTGGATTTAGTTATCTTGTTTATTGGTGCTCGTCTCAACATCTTCTGCAACATGATACGTAGAGAGAAATAAGGCATTCTGATTCTTCTGCAAGAACCTGCAATAAGAAGATATCTTGAACTATCAGCAAAGATTGATGATAAGAAAATGTCATATTCCCAAAAGGAAGATAAAAGTATCAAATAGGTTATGACAGAATGATGTGCCTTATAGGGCATAATTAGGGGGAAAACCTAAAAATGTAAATGAAAGGATTATTTCCAAATAAGAGGTGTCCTTCTAGTGCAGAGATAACAAACAACGTAAATTATAAGAGATTATTAAAGAGAAAGTTAGCAAGAACTATAAATGATTAATTGCAGAAAATTAGGCCTAACATCAACATTTAAAATCAATTATCGACTTAACATCATTGACTTTGGAACATGAAAAAACAGAATTTCTAAGCGCGTCAATAAGGAAGGAATATGAGGCTTTGCCCCAACGGTTCGCCTACCTCCTTTAAGGGGTGGATGTGGACTTCCGGCAAGGCTGGGTCTAGCCCCAGATGCTGCTTGATCGTATTCCATTTGTACAGAAGAGAATAATTATACGAGAGATAAATAAATAAATAAATATCATGAATTTATCTGAATCTGACTCACAAAAATAGATTTAGGACAATTTTTTATTTCTTTTACTCGCACTTACAAGCTTCTATATATGTTATCTAAAATAAATAAAAGCTTAATGATAAAAGGAAATGTAATGTTTTTCTTTTCATTGTACAAATTTATCAAGTACCAAGCATTAAGCGAGGGAGAAAAAAAGAAACATTTTTTCCATTCGGTAATTGGTACTTTTTTTATTTTTAATTATTTATATATCTCTTTTTCTTTTTTGTTTGCACGACGTATGGGAAAGGTTTGAATACAGACTTGAAGGGTGAAAGCACAACTTCCAGGTGCTGGTATTGAAATGATTAGCTTCTGTTTTTAACTTCTTCCGGGGGGTTTTGATGCTGTTGGCATTTAAGCAATTGAATATCGTGGCAGTGACTATTATCTTCTCCGGTGTCTAAAATCAAGCAAGTCCAATCCAGAAACTCTAACCAAGAAAATATCGAGCTTATTCAATCGTCCCCGCTCCATTGTTTCTAATTGCAAGATTTCAACTGCACTGCTAGTACTAGATTTTATTTTTTATTCCAAATAAAGTTATAATAATTCTAAGCCTAATTATCACCTTTTCTATATATTTTTTTAATTAATACTATTTTTTATTCATTTTGATGAAAACAATACATTAAATATAATTTTTTAAATAGCATTTTAATTATCCATTTTTTTTACGTAAAAACTAAATCCAACCTTATAAATGTCTTCTACATTAGATGGGCCCAACCTATCAATTTCTGACCTTATTAATTTATCCTTTGATGTGGTTTTGTTGGGCTAACAAAAGTTATTTGAACAACTGCAAAGAATCTTCTAATGATGTTGATATTTAGAGCACGGTTGGATTGCAACGTGTACGCCGGTGGAGATGCATTTTGCATAAAAAATTGAGTCAAATGTATTGAATTTGTATTTGGTTTTCGTTATTAGGTACGATTTGGTGTTTTTTTCACTGATATTTTTGGTACAGTTAGTAAATATATAATTCCCTTTTTATTTAAATTTTTTTTATCTTTATAATTGTATAATAAACATAAAAATATCCTTACATTTCAAACTTGTGTTATTTAAAAATTTTAAAATAATTTTGTTATTGTTTATATTAAGAAATAATTTTATTTATTTAATATAATAAAAAATATTATCTAATATATTAATATTTTTATTAATTTTAATTATTTAATAATAAATTATTATTTGACATAAAATAATTTTTTAATTTTAGAAGAATTAAATAATTTAAAATTTTATTATATATAATTTTTAATTTAATGTTTTTTTTTTCTTATTACAATTCATTTTACTTCAACCTTTACATTTGCATTCAAATATATATTTATATTATTAATTTTAATTTTATTACTATAATAATTAATTTAACTTCTACCATTATTTTTAATTTTATCAAAATCAATCGCATCAACTATTTAAATGACTCCTTAATATTATATAAATTTAAAAGAAATTTAGAAATCAAACTTCTAATGAATCAATAAATGGAGCAACACGATGTCAAGTCCTTTTCAAGTTTAAATCAATACAATAAGCCAGCCCAATAAATTATATATATATATATATATTAGTATTAGTTAAATGAAATATATGTTTCTTTAATTAATATAGATTTTATTGTATAATTTAATTATATGTTTGATATATAAAATTATGATAAAATATAATAAAATAACATTATAAATAAGATAAATTAAAAATGTGATCCTAATCAATGAATAATTGGCTCAAGTGATAAAGAGGGTGTACTTTTCTCTTTATTGCTTAAGTTCAAATCTGTTAAAAGAATGTAGAAAGATAATTTTTCATAAATTCACTAGATCTATCATAAATAAACTTGTTTAGACTAACTCAAAGAGGGGATGTATTGGGCGAAGTCCGAGAGTCCTTTGTTACAAAATAAAATAAAATAAAATATCTTATTTTATGATTAATGTGTGCGAAAATTATGATATAATA